GGGGAATAAATATGAAACCCTAGGAAGTCATTTTCATTGAGTCTTTTTTAGAGTATAACCACCCTTTTAGCAATAAAATGCTACCACAACACAGAGGTTCCTATTAATAGACCCTCAGTGTATGCTAAGATAAGAAGGTAAATGAAAAATTGGGAATAGGTGACAATTTGCCACACCCAAAAAAAAAATGGATCTAAGATTGTAGCAGCAGAATGTGGAGCTAAGAAAAAAAAAAAAACTTGATTAAAAGAACAGTTATGGCTCTATACAATTGAAGGCAATATTGGGTACATTTTAAATGTACATTTGTCTAATTACACAAAGAATTTGTACCGTCGCCACATAACTTTTTACTGAAATGTATTAGGTATATCAATTAGTGATTTTCTTTATTATTTTAAGTAATTTCCAAGCAGGGGGAAAAAAGGGTAGTTCTGTCTGGTAAAATGTTGATCATCTCCTCTCATGATCTCATGATGAGTTAGAAAGAAAAATACGAGCTCTTTAACCCAAATTGCTGTACCTATGGCTGCTGAGTTGTTATTTAATGAATGTCTCAATGCACAGTATGCTTCTACCACATCAGCCAAAAAGAGATTGACTAACACTCACAAGTTTCTCCCCTGATAAGAGACAGAAAGTTAAGCACCGACTTGGAAGGGACAGATAAAGTCTTGTAGTACTGTTAGCTAACACTTAATAGGGTGCTTTTCTGGCCATAGTGAGGTGACTGAGGTCCCCTGCAAGGCCTGTTTTCCTTACTGATACAGACACTGGTATCTCACTGTAGTTTTTTCTGGGTGTTTGTGCTCGAGGAAAAGGATATAAAGGAGATTAAACAATTAATACGTTTTCTTCATGAGAGGAAAGCAAGGCAAGAAAATAATAATAAACTTGGGAGAACATTTCTACAAGAAAATTACTAAAACAAGGGAAAAATAAATGAATATTGAAACAAATCTAAAGCAAGAATACTGGACAAAGTTAGTTACAAAAAGAAACATTAGTATCACATACCAGAAGATGATCAATAGTATGTTTCTATAATTTAGTCATAGATTTATTGCAACCTCTTCTCACCAAGAACTGCAGTAGAATCTACAGCTTTTCCAAATATTTCCAAATAGATATATTGTGATATTGTCATAATTGTTTCTACCAGTAATGTCAGGAAAATTTGCTTCCTTGTTTTCTAAATCTCTCCTCATTTTTCAGACACTAATTGACTATAAAAAGAAATTTTTCAATTTGGCTTGATGAAGCAAATAAGTAAATCATTAATTTTTTGAAACATAATATATCCATAGTGTATCCATAGGCTACACACCCTAATCTCACTCTATCTTTGTCTTTCTGTCCCTGTCTCTGTCTATCTCTGTCTCTGTCACTTTTTTTCTCTCTCTCTCTGGTCTGGTCCCCATTGATGTTATGATGGACTATTGCTGTTGAACAAGAACTGACAGATATTTAGGGATGTGTGACCCTTCGTGTGAGTTATCTGACTCAGCAACTGAAAGGATGTGACCTTGAGCAAGTCAGTTCTCCTAATCTCTTCATCTGAAAAATGAAACCAGTAGAATAGATAAACTTTAAGGTCTTTTCTGTTGTTCTTCAATTTCCTAGATTATTTTTTTTTCCTTTTGAATTCAGTACAGCAGGCATCAGCTAAGCACAAGCTTGTGTGCCAGGCACTTCATATCATACCATAGAGGTGAAAAAAGGGATGATCCCTGTCCCACCCCATCATAAAGGGGCATGTTCAACATTTCTGTAACAACAGACAGGTTAGCAAGAAAAAAAGCACAAGAAATTTATTTGATCATAGTCTTACGGAACATGAGAGCCTTCAGATTGAAGACCCGGAGTGACTGTCCTTTTTTTGTGCTTAAGTTTAAGAAAGCATAGAAAATTTTATAGAAATGTGATTGGACAAAAGGAGTCTGAACTAATGGTAGTAGATTGAATGTAAAACCAGCAAGGCCTGTCGGTTCAGATTCTTGTTGACTGTCTCTGCACAGCATTCCTTCCTCCCGGGTATAGGCAGGGCTTCCTCTGAATTGGTGGTCTTGTGATCTACTATCAGAAAAGGTAGGCAGGAGAATTTCTTTACGACCAGCACTTTCACAGAAAGGCAGGAGAAGATTGAAGAACTATTTTTTTACTTGGGGGAAAGGAGGTCTGGTTTCTATGCACTCCTTGAGGAGGACAAATTTGAGTTTCTGTGACTTGTCTCAGGAGAGAAAGGAACAGAAGGCAGGAGGGAAGAATGGGACTCAGAAACTGTACTTCTGGGGCTGGGGATTTACCTCAACAGCATAAGCGCCTGCCTTGCAAGCAGGCAGTTGTGAGTTCAATCCCCAGTACCGATAAAAAAGAAAAAGACAAAAAAAAAAAAAAAAGAAACTATACTTCTGATGTTACTTCTGTGACCTACGCTTTGGGGTATTGCTTTCTGTGCTCCAATTGTATATGAACTAAAAATTTTCTCTGCCTTTAAGGAGCTTACAGAGAAGGAAGACAAATTACACAGATACTTATTAAAGATGACATAAAATACAAAGGGAACAGAATAAATAAGGACTTCAGGATTCAAGAAGGTAAAATGCTTTCTAAATAAGGAAGCATTTAGTTGGCCATCAAAAAGCTACATGTGGTGGCATAAGCACCTGCCTTGCAAGCAGGTGGTCGTGAGTTCGATCCCCAGTACCGATAAAAAAAAAAAAAGCTACATGTAGACATTGGAAAACGGGGGACAGTACCATGCACATTGTGGGCAAGAGCAGGCTCTTGCTAGAGTGCAGGATGGACTGCAGAGATAAGAAAGGGAAGTTCAGGCAAGGCATAGGGGCTCCAGTATTCAGGGAAGGCGATGCAGAAGGACAGCAAGCTGAAGCCCAGTTTGGGAAACTTATTGAGACCCCATCTCAAAATAAAATAACAAAATAAAATGCTGTAGTTGCAGTTCAGTGTGAAGGCCCTATGTTCAATATCCACTATAGGAAATTTTAAAAAAGGAAAATTTGATTGGGACCACCTTATAGCAACACTTAAAGCCAGACTGAGAAGTCTGAATTCAATCCAGTGAGCAAAGAGGATTTTGACCAAAGGAAGAATGTTTAGACTGTTACTTTAGTGTATTAATATGTCAGGGGGAAGGATAGTCTAAGGTGAAAAGAAACTGGAATTGAAAGCAGTTTGGAAAGCTTCAGAGAAGTCTTGGCAGTAGGTGACAAGGGGATAAGTATGTGTTGAGTATGGAAAATAAGTATTTATTCAAAAAACACAGCTAGAGGAAAAAAATCCACAAGATTTGGCAGCTGTTGGGATATAGACGGCAAATTAGTTAATTAACTGAAAGGATTACAAATGCCTCCTCAGTTATAGACCCAAGAAACTGGAAGAAGATGGTATCAGTGGCAGGAAACAGGAAGTTTGGAGAAAGAACAGACTTTTGAGAGAAATCGATAAATTCTGTTTTAATTTTTCTGACTTAGAACATCCTGCATTTGATAGAGTTATAAACTTCTCAAAATTAAAGGCCCTGAATTATTCATCCTTTCCAGGTGCCTAATAAATGCTGTGTGAACACGGATGAGCAAAGGAATAAGTGTATCCATCATCAGCTCTTATTTAGACTGTGGGTCTTGAACTGTGTAGACAAGCAAGTGCTAAAGACAGCAGTGTGGACACTCTATGGAGAAGTGATTGTTGAGTTCATGGAGGACACAGAGAGGAGAAGCTTCATTAATGGCACAGAAGAAGTAAAGACAAGCCAGGGAACGAGGCAGAAGAGTAAACTGAGAAGTGAGAGGAGAGTCAGGACAAGGCCACGGCCCCATGCCAAGGAAGGCAAGTTTTGGGAACAATGCAATCTTTGGAGACCAGTGTGGCCGCAAAGGCAAGGCCTGGGACACTCAGTTTGTACCTCTGAGACAGATAACGGTTGTGTAGTCACACGGGCTGAGCTCCTCAGGGCTAGAAGACGTGAACAGAGCAGAGTGAAAGTGTAGAGAAGGCAAGAGCTCTACCTGGATCAGATCAGTGAGTGTGCTTCACCAGGTAAGAACTGAGCAGTAGAAAGGGAAGACTGGAAAAAATTCTTCAAATACCAGAAATGTTAGATAGATAGATAGATATAGACAGACAGAGAGATAGAGAACCACTGTTCAGCCTTTTAAAAGGAGGAAATCATGTCATTTGCCACAATGTGGTCAAACCTGGATGGTGTGTTAGGTAAATAAGCCAGGCACAGAAAGGGAAATATTGCACTGTCTCACTTACAAATAGAACTCAAAAAATTTGAACTCACAGAAGCAGAGAATAAAATGGTTACCAGAAGCTGGGGAGCTATTGGTCAAGGAATACAAAATTTCTATTAGACAAAAGAAATAAATTCAAAAGTTACTGTGTATCATAGTGACTGTAGTTAACTAAATACTGTACACTTGAGCATTATTCAGAATAGATTGTAACAATTCTCACATTAAAAAAGATGAGATAATGTATATGTTTATTAGCTTGAATTGGCCATTGTATGATGTAAACATACATAAAAAGATGATGTTGCATGTGATAATAAAATTTTTGAATTTTTGTCAACTAATGATTAATAAGTAAACATATAATATAATATAATATAATATAATATAATATAATATAATATCAGTGGGGAAACATCAGAAGAATCAGCTGTGGCAAGGCTAAAAGACACTGTTACTTCCACCCCCCATACTCCTGACTCAGTTTTCAATCTGAAACAAAAATGTGCTCCATCTGCATAGGAACAGTGCTGTTGGTGTCTGAGACTGCACAGGCAGTCGGTGAGAACGACTTGGTGACATCCTCTCTGCTCTCCTTTACCACTGTCTAGTGCAAGCACGAAGAACCAAACTCTCGGCCACATCCCACAGCTCTATCACTATCACAATAAATTATCACCGTCTCTATCACCCACTACTCAAACAACCTTACTTTTTGTTTTGTTTTGTTTTCTGTGCTAGATGCCGCAGCTCTCTGTTCCCTGCCCCAATGAACATCTGCACTAGGCCCAAGCCTTGGAGTGACTTACCTGAAGAGTGACACCATTTATTTGGAAACTACTGTAAGTACATTATGCCTCCAATGAAAAGCTCCTTAGTTCACTTCGTTTAGTTAAAAAAAAAAATACACAGACAATTGTAAAAGCAGGCAAAATGTTACATGGCATCATCTCTTAGATGCAGCCTTGCCTGGTATGTGTACTGAAGCAGATGTGAGTACACTCTGCAGGGTTGGGTGGAATTCTTGGTCATCTGCATGGCTTCCCAGAGCAGCGGCAGGTCCTCCCAATATGTTTGGATCTCATCATCCCTGTATGTCACCCTTGAATCTCATGGAGCCTGTCATTTCATCTCACTCTAGGCAAACATGGGCCTGCTTTGCTTGTCTCTGTCTACTTACCTGAACTGCACCCTCATTCTGTTGCCTCACTGACATGAGAGGAAGCCAAGGCCTCCAGTGGGAACTCCGGCTCTTGCTGTCCACAGCCCTAAGCCATCGTGACAGCTCAACTTTGCCCTCTGGATGCATGGCTCTATGTCGCTGGCTTCGTTTCCTCCATGTCAGGCATTCATGTAGGGGAACTACTGTAATCCTTGCAAGGAAGTGTGCAGAAACAAGTTGGGGGAGGAGATAAGCTACCTGCAGGAAATCATGATGAAAAACTGGTGTGAAGGATTCATTAATCACTGCTGAAACCAGCAGATGAATGTGTGCTTTTTTTCACTAGAAAAGGCCAAATATTTGAATTCTTTAGAAACTGTGCATAAAAAATAACTTGATTATACATTTTTAAATGAAAGTTCATTCTAGATGTTTTAGTTACAAGTTTTCCTATATGGTGTGAGGCAGGTGAAAGTTGGTGTTTTACAGACATCTCTGTTTCTAGAAAACACAACCTGGGAGACTAACATTCCACTTAGGCTTCAAGTAGGATTGTCACATTCTATATCTTTAGCTGTTCTGTCATAAATCAAACCCAGAGGAAGGAAGTCAGAGTTCTATTTTATTTTTAACTTCTAATGTTTTTGGTTTCCTGGGTAATAATTGATGGTAACTGACATGGAGGTGATTGGTAGGCCTACTTAGCCTGGTGAGGGATGTGGAACTTCAGAGTGTTGGGGTCCAACTTGAGACCAAAGACGTGAAAAAATTGGAAATAGAGTTTCTTTCATACTTACTCAGGGAATTTACTTGAATGATACCATCATTCATCCTTAAGTTCAAGTAAAAAGTCTCCTAGAAAAGACCAGGGGAATAGCTCAGTGGTGCAGTGCCTACCTGGCAAGTGTAAGGTCATTAGTTTGATTCCTGGTACAAAAAGAAAAAAAAGTCTCTTAAAAATCTCACAATTCAGTAGTTTTCTGAGGCCTAGATGTGTAGCTCAGTGGAAAGGCATATACTTGGCAGATAGGAGGCCCAGTGTTCAGAGCCCAGCCTTACAAAAGTAAGATAGTTTTCTGAACTTTCTTTCATTCCAGAGTGACTATGCTAGTGCCAGAAACACAGCCAACACACTAGGTTACGAATGGTTTCAAAGTTTCTGTGTCCATTGGGAGGGAAAGTGTCCTTACTACTCCAGCATTCCTGTGCTGCAGAGGACCCAGATCTAGATTCAGAATCAGGCTCTGATGAGTCTGGACAATTTCAGGGAGGCCCACAAACGACCATCTGCTTCTTCCCTAGGAAGAATTTCCCTGTTCAGAGTACCAGTGTATTTTCACTTCTCATGGGCCTGACTGAATGGACAGATTGAATTACAGTAACCCTCGCAGTGTCTGGTGTCAAATTCCTCATCACTCTAAAGTGAAACAATAATAAAACTTAGAGACTTGCTAGTCGTGCAAATCAACAGGGTTCAGAAAGTATAAAATTATAAACTGATTGCAAGGGTGTCCCTTTCTGTGAAGTCTACAGTGCTGTGGGCCTTTTCGAAAGGCTTAAGAGTAGGAGTAGGAGCAAGTAATAACTTTAACACGCTGCCTGCACACCCTGCTCAGTCAGTGAGCCTACCTTCTTCCCAGATTGTTGTACAGTTAAGTGAGATAGTGCATTTATAGTTTCTGGTACAGCAGAAGTGCACGTATCTCGTCAATCAGCTAAAACATACTGTGTTTCAAGCACTCTTCTAAGCACTAGGGATTTGGGTACAAATGAAACAAACAAAAATCCTCACTCTTGAGTTTATATTTAGTTTTCTTGCTCTCTAAATGACAAATGGACAAAATAGGTACATAGAAGGCAGAAAAGAACTCATTTTTCTTTTGTTTTACTCTTTCCTTCCTAAGTAATAATTGAGATGAAAAAAATAAAAGAAGGAAAGAAAAGATATGCTGATGAGTGTTGTCCCCTCAAAGTAAACCCCAGAACCACTCTCACTTCATATGTGACCTGAGAGAGATCTCTGGAGGATGTCACCCAGGCTGTCTTGTCCTCTGGCTTCCCTTTGACTTTGGCCAAAAGGAGACATTAGCAAAAGATACGGGAGTGGGAAGAAAGAGGGGTCAGGCTATTTAGTAGTCCTGTACCCTTTCCAGCTTCAGCTCTGACTCAATTTAGTCCTGTACCCTTTCCTTTGGCCCTTCAGTTCAAATGGTTTAAAACTGAGACAAACAGCTGTCCACTCTTGCCAATACTGGTGATTCAGTATCCCTTGAAGGTCCCTTCGCTTAGCCTTTGCTACACCTCAGTGTCTAGTCTTTTTCTAAACTGTCCCCCTTTAATTGTACGTGCCATCTACTTCTTGCAGGATCCTGACTGTCACAGTGAGGTAGAAATACACTAAAAACATTCTAAGTCAGCTCTGCTAAGAAGGTTGAAACAGTTGAAACAATACAGTAATCACAAAAATGTTTTAAGTTGATGTGAGAACATTGGACCAAGTAGCAAAAGGCTCAATCATAAGAAAATGTGATAAGCAAGTGCTGTAGGACAGTCTCAGTGAATAGATTGTAGCGTTTGGGCTCACAGGCTTCCATCAGCACAGTACAGCTTGCTTGACCTTGCACTTCAGGGAGCTTTGAGAATAGCTACAGCAGTGACAAACATGTGCAGAGAAAGGTGTGGGGTGGCAGGGGATACTGTAAGATCAAGGTGTGGAAGAAGAGATTCCTGTCCTTTCTGCAACAATCTATTTGCTCATGGCCCAATCTACATATTAAAAAGATTGCTAAGATGTAGGAAATGCCTCACTGTATAACTAATTTGATGGAAACCACTGACCTAATGCTAGGAAAAGAGCTATCATTATTGAATACTAACTCTGTATCAGCAAGGGATTAGAAAAATGGAGTATGATATTAAATTTAAAGAAAATTATTACAATAAAAAAGACACCGCCAACAATTCCCTTCAGACACCCCCTAATCATATCAAACATACTTATCTCACCATTCTTGCCATGTTAGAAGCAGTTGTGTAAATTCTCTTTCATGTTTTTATAAGGTATGATCAAAAATATGGTGAGTGCTACTGCCAAGTGCCACCCAGTAGAAAAGCAAGCTCATAGAAACATCACAGTGTGTCCTTCCCCACTTTATTCATTGGATCTAGCACTGTGAGACTTGTGTCTCTTCCTCAGGGTCAAAATGCCTATGAAACACAGCGATGTTTAATTAATTCAAGACATAAAGACATCAAGACTAGCAAACTCAGGACACTCAAAAAAGCGGACTTCCAGAGCTGCCTCAGAAAATGGCAGCAGTGGTGAAATAAGTGTTTCAGCACCAGGAGAGTGTATTTTGAGGGGATTAATGACAATGTGTCTTTTACTGTAATACTCATTTCAAATGTAAGCATTCACTGTATATTTTGATCTTACCTTGTTCATGGATCACTTCATTTATTCCTCATGATAGCCCTAGAAGATAAGCATTATTGTTCCATTTTCCTATGAGGCAAGTAAGCTTTACAAATGCAGAGAAAAGGTGCACAGTGATGAGGCAGGGCAGCACAGCTCTGGCACGTCGCCCTCCCTGCCTGTGTGGTTTTTCACAATCTCCCCTTCCCCCTGCCTTTTTTCCATGCACTATTGTAGAGGAGAACAGGGAGGTGGTTACCAGCCTAAAAAGACTGGAGAGTCATCACTGATCTAAATTATCCTGATCCAATGACTGAGTAATTATTTATCAAAAGGAGGCTCTGACTAATTCTTTCCTATCTAACCAGGCTGATAAGTGAAAGGCATGTTAATGTGCAGGACAGTGTGGGAGTCCAGTGAAGGGAGAAAATTGGAAGAGGGAGATAGAAGACAGCACTTTCCTTTCAACAGCCCCTGGAGACTGATAAGAGCTCACACAGATAAAATATTTATTTTTCCATATGTTACAGAAAGCACTGCCATCTCTGTGTGTGTACAATATGTGCAAAGGAGTGCGAAATATATACATCAAATGCCACCGATCTGGTTAATTTCCATGCATTTAACATGCTTAATACCTACCATCACATCCATATGTTTTAATGCATATTTCTTTCCACATACAATATGGTCTAGTAAGGAAAGAGCCAACATCCTCTACAACATTGTGCATTGCTACGTTTCAGCCCAAAACTTGGTGCCAGAGACACTACATGGAGAGTTAAAAAACCGAAAGGTTCTGCTGGCTAACTTAGCTGCCAGTCACCTTAAAACGCTTTCCCAGTTCTCGAAGCAGCTTTTATTCTCATACCAGAAATGTTTGCAGTGGGGAGATGAAAATGTATCTGTCCTCTTCAGACAATTGGGAAATGTTCAGTCAGGATGTCAAAACTGGCTATTGAAAGGCAGTTGCCTGTGGTTTCTCTCTCTCTCTTTCTCTCTCTCTCTCTCTCTCTCTCTCTCTCTCTCTCTCTCTCTCTCTCTGTCTCTCTCTCTCTCTCTCTCTCTCTCTCTCTCTCTCTCTCTCTCTCTTTCTTCCTTGTTTTGTCTTTTTTGAATGCAGAGCTCCACCAGTGAGGCGGGAGAAAGTACACAACGATTGGTCTGTTTTTCTGGGGAAGTGTTCAGGGCACACCCAGATTTGCTTTGCATATATTTACCAAACATCTGCCCTTTTCTTATTTTTAAGTCCTTCCTCCTCACCAGCCCGCTTTCCCCTTTTCCCTAGTTTCTTTCTTTGTTGTTGTTGGCTTGTAACTTTTTCATTGGAGCTTTCATTTTCCGGTTGAGAGACACCTTCATCAGAGTGTATCATTTTAACATAGTGAATGAAAAGAGAGAGGGAGGAAAAGAGGGAGAGAGGAAGACAGAGAAGGAGGGAGGGGAAGAGAGGGACAGAGAGAGGGAGGGAGAAAATGAGAGGGAGAGAGAGACAGAGAGAGAGCACATGAACTAAAAAATACAAAGACTGAGAGGCTAGAGCTTGGCACACCAACCTTTGGCATGGTGACCAGGAGGATGGTTCTGGTAGGGAGCTGGCTCCCTAACGTGCTCCCCGGAGTCAGCCAATGTGATGCTGCCCTCTAAAGGCCCCACGGAAGAGTGCACAGCCCCAATCCAGAGATTTGCCTTCAGATGTGCCATATTTGTTCAATTCTTTTTATATAACCGAGGAAGGTATTTCCAGTTAATCACAACAAAGCTTACTCTTTCCTCCTTAGTAGATTGTAAAGTGCCAGAACTGGTCAAATAACAGTAAGAGTGTATGTCAAACGAACACTGAGCATTTCTCCATTACCTATGCAGGTGGGAGACATCACAGTGGTAAAAGGCTAAGTAAGGTGATATTAGACAGATGAGAGTGTGAGCCAAAAACACTTGGTTTTCAATATTTCCTGTTTGTAGATGTGGTAAAATACCATTTGGCCAAGAATTGTCCTCAAAAATGATCCTTGAGATAACAAATGGAAAGCAAGAGTTCCGACGTGAAGAACAATTTATGCAATACTCAAAATAAAAGCTTAATAGTCTTTTGGTGATGTAATCATATTTGAAAGAGAACCTCCTTAATTTTCTGAACCACACATCTCAAACCAGCCTTGGCTTTGTTTATAAGTGTCAGGAACAACTTTTTTCTACTAGGTAGCATTTGTCATTGATATTCTGTCCCTATATTTAAATGAATCAGGAGGACCAGCTTAGTCCTATTGAGCAAAATGAATTCATTCTTCTCAAATGCCCTTCTTGGACTCAAAGTTGAAGCACTCAGTCAGGGTAGAGTTCCCTGCTAAATAAAGAGAAGAAAATTTAACTGGGATTCAGGCTGTGGTGATCCTCGAAATACACTTTAATTTCAGCTCCAATTTCATTCCACCAACAAATAAATGTTGAATGGCAGCTTTGTGGCTTAACAGTGTAGACTAGACAGTAAACTCTGGGAAGATAAAAACCAGGCTCAATTCCCTGGACCATGATAACGTATCTCCAGCGCATAGTAAATGTTTGTAAAATGAATGTGAATAAATGTGAAAGAAAAGGATGAAGGAAAGAATGGACAACTACAGGGAATATAAAAATAACTGAGCCATTTCCTTACCCTCAGAGAGGTTACTGCATATAAATAACTTCATGAAATAAAACTTAGTGAGTAATAATATTAGTAAAAAGCACTTGGGCATTTCAGAGAACAAATGGGGAGAAGTCCCTTACAATACAGAAGAGTCATGACAATTACAAGAAGGAAAGAGCATTTGATAAATATGAAGGGTGTTTGATTTTAGCAAGCAGAGATGACAAAGGGGTAATCAAAGTAAGAAGCATAATTCAAGTAAAGGTGTAGATCCAATATATAGATTCCAGGACTTTCTAGAAATGTTAAGGCATTTTGAGAACCCAGTGTGCCAGTATATAAGACACATGAAATAAGCTAGAGCAGATAAGAAGCTGACCTTGAGTGTCAGGCTAACATGACCATGGGGGACTTAGTGAATGCCGATGGCGAGCCAGTCAGTAAACATTAGTCCTGATAAAAGTGGAAAGGCAGGGCTAGGGGTGTGGCTTAGTAGTGGAGCTCTTGACTTGCATGCGCAAGTCCCTGGATTTGATCCCTAGCACCACAAAAGAAAGAAGAAAAAAAAAAAGAAAAGAAAAGAAAAAGTGGTAAGGCAATTGCATGCAATGAAAAAGAAGTTAAAATATGGAAAACATCAAAGGAGCAGAATTGTTAAAACTTCATGTTAAATCAGCTTGAAGGCAGGGGAATATTACGATGAGCCTGACATCTCCCACCTGATGACAAGCAACAGTGGTAGAAGAAGGGACCATAGAAACAATGGTTTGCATAGGAAAGAAGAGTTGCATTTTGGAGGCTTTTTATTAGATGCCATTTTAAAGTAAAAAATCAGAATGCCAGAGCCCTGAGAGTTTTATCTAGATATTGAAAACTTTGGGGTTACTCACTGCATCACCCATTCAACAAACAATGCATAAGGCATAGCCATTTGTTGTTTGCCTTATATTGGCTTTTGGTATAGTGAAAAAGATGTCTGAAAGTTTCCCCTCTATTCTAATCTTTACCGTGCTATTTCTGTCTTCTGCCCTCTAAAGAAACAGATTTGATTTCACAACCTGTTGGACCAAAAACACAGCATACTAATCATAACACCATCTTCCGCAAGGGCAGATTTAACTACCCAGTACAACAAATTTCAATATGAAATACACTATTCTGTATAACCAGTTGAATGCCATGCTCATAGAAACAAAGGAGGCATAGAAAGAAATCCACTTACAAGTTATGCACCACACAGAATCTTCAGTCAAAAACAGAATGCTATCTAGGGTTTGGGATGTAGCTCAGTGCTTTCATACTTGTCTAGTATGTGCACATATGCAAGGCCCTGGGTTTGATCCCTACAACTGAAAAAAATAGTTTGGTTATTGTCTACATAGTGATAGGAAGAAAAGCACAAAGCTCAGGAAATTGATAACATACTCGGGACAGATAAGCTCAGTTTGGCTGAAGTCTGAATCTAAGTATAAGCTCATTTATTCGTTTAACATCCAGTTGTGTTATTGTGACAGAAAAGTCCTGAAGCTGATGCCTGAGCTATTTGACTTCCTGTTGCTGACCCCAAATGATGGTTAGTAACAGTGAATTTCTAGTTCCCTTCACCCATCTCTTCCTCACATGCCAAACACACAGTCACACTGTTGAACTCCAGGAGCATGCACTACATCAAAAAATAATGACGGTCTCCAGCACAGGATGAATAAAGCCTAGAAGTAGCTTGTCTCTACATAACACCTTGCCTCTTTGCCTACTAGAACCTAAATTCTTGTCACTTTCACTTTCTATTAACAGAAAGCTTCCACTGCTTCCTCTCCATCAGGGCAGTCTGCAGATTTCAATTTTGATTTGACATTATATATTGATTTAAAATAAAATCTGGTAACAGCAAGAAAGTTGAATGTTCTGTGTGTTCCATCAAGAAACTGAAAGCTGTAAGGAACTTTTAAGGCCATCTAATCCGAACCCTTTATTTTACAGATGAGGAAACTGAAGCCCAGAGAGGTGAAGTGAGGTGCCCAAGGCCACACAGCAAGTTAGAGGCACAGCTAGTACAATAGCTCACGGCTCCTGACTCCCAGTCCAGTGCTCCTCCCATTACTCCACGCGTCCTGTCTCTAAGCTTCCTGACAAATGCTAGAACGGTAAACCTCCACTAGTGTTTTTCCAGACCACGTTAAAACTCATAAGGCGGGGGAGTGGGGGATGCTTTCTTGGATAATGTCAGCCATACGTAGCTCAAGCTGTCTAAAAGTTCTGGGACAGGGTCTTTTTATACAGCCAACAGAGTCCAAATGTGGTGCTGTTTGCTTGGCCCATATGCTTTCATGTGTTCCCAGTTAGGCCATTACTGGAGGGGAAAAAAAAAAAAAAAAAAAACAAGAATCAGCTTGTTTTAAAACAAGGGACATACTGGACTCCCTCCCATCCCCCTTCAGGAAAAAAAAAATCAAGTTATCTTTAACAGATTCTAAAAATGCCTTTTCCCAAATATGCAGTCAGTTCCTTCAAAGGGCCCTTTGTTTATTTTCAGGAAGAAACCCAAGACAGCTGAAAACCAGAAGGCATCTGAGGAGAATGAGATTACTCAGCCGGGTGGATCCAGCGCCAAGCCGGGCCTTCCCTGCCTGAACTTTGAAGCTGTTCTGTCTCCAGACCCAGCCCTCATCCACTCAACACATTCACTAACAAACTCTCACGCTCACCCCGGGTCATCTGATTGTGAGTACGCAGTAAGGTGATGGTGTCTTCGCAGTGCGTGCAGTCATGCTTTCCCCTGGGTTCTGGCTGTTTTGCATTCACAGCAAGCTGTTTGCATTTTGTCTTCTAAAGTAGCCAAAAGTAGCATGCCACCATTTTTATTTGGCCAACATCTATAATTTTCAAAGCTAAGTATATTTTAAAGTCAGGTAACCAGCCATTTGGCCTCAAAGACTAATTAATTACATGATTCACGTTCTCTTTTTTTAACATTAACTCAGAAAAAAAATTACAATGCTGCCTTCTAATTATTCCTGATCTGAATAGCCCCACTTCCACAATTACTAAATGGAACACCAAATATGGACCTCAGAAAGCCATTTAGATACAAGGAAATATCCGTTTTAAAGTTACATAACACAAATCAGATTTGCATTAGTTATTGAAGTCTCATGTAGCTTGGCTGAATTTCTGTCTTTCCAGTTTTTAATTTATTTTGAAGTGGTTAAAGGATAGCATAAATTTACAGAAGAAAAGAAAAGGGCTTCCAAGAATTCAAAAGCCACCCAGACTTCACACAGCCAATAAGAATTCAGGTTAAAAATATTTTTAATTAAAAAAACTGCCTGAGGGCTAAATTTGGAAATGGGCAGCTTAATGAGATCGTCACTATTGAAATCATTTCTTTGCTGTTTATTTTTGTCATCTTCTCACTAATCTGGAAGTCACTTGTTCAAATTTTAAGCAAGTTGAATAGTCACATTTCAGATTTTTTTTTCCTTTCTGAATCATAATCCAGTACTTCAGGAAGAAACATATATGTTGACAACGGAAAGGAATTAAATAAATTGGAGAGGAAATCATAGGGAGTATTTCTTTTAGCTTTAAGATATTCAGAACCCTTCTGAACTGGTCTTCATATAGGTTGTAACAGGCAAAGAGCTAGCATGTTCTTCTTTAGAATCAGTAAGACAAGATCAAGAAGGTTTTATTTTATTTTTGTCCACAAAAACAAAAATTAATGATTAGGAAATGTAATTTTAAATCTATTGTTATTTTTTGGAAAAAACATGAATAATTGTGCAAAAAGGGTCAGAGATGACTGGGTCTGGAGATTCTGTTTTCTGCTTGCTTCATAATAGTCTGTAGGTAAGGGGTAAGAGTGAGGGCAGGGGTTGGGCTGGAGATGGCTTGTTTTAAGCATAGCCGGGCTGAGACTGAACTGCTGTCACTAGAAAATGAAAAGAAAAGCATTGAGATTCAAGCCTGTATCCGTGTGATCCCTAAGTCAAAATTGCAACTTCTATAAAGAGACATGGGAGTTTGAAACAGGGACTGTTCTGCAGACGTTGTAATAGTCATACTCTTGGACTTTATTGCCTGGCAGTCTCCAGCCTAATATTAATTACAGGAGGAATTGGAAAATAGTGTGGCACTGTGCCCACAGACATGTGCACGCTGCCTCTACCTACCGGGAAGGTGGACTGTTCCTGTGGTGAAGAGCCTGGGCTTCTGCATACAGACCTCCATTGCCTGGCCTTCTGCCACACCTTATGGGGAAGATTACATGGGATGGCCTTGGCCCAGGAACGTCCTGTTACAGCAAAATGAATGTTTTGCTAAATGGAAAAAGTAGTGATCTTCATTTATTGTACTTTACTTTAAACATCCTCTAGCCAGGCCTTAGTGCTAGCGTCCAGGCATTTAAAGACCAGTAGAAATATGATGTCAGGGTACCATTCCGGGGTAACCTGTAGGAGCCGGCAGATCTGAGCTTAGGAGAGTGTCTGCACACAGTTGAAAAAAGAATGAACTGGGAGGAGAATCCTAATCTCCAGCTGTTTAGGAAGTCATTTTGATTTTGCCATTAAGATGTGTGAGACTTCCCTGACCAACTTCTTGTTTAAATTGATTATACTTTTCTCCAAATATATTTGGATTATAGTTTGTCCTGATTTGAGCCTACACTTAGAAGAAAATTGTTTTTAGGAAAGATTCACAGAAATCTGTCCATTTGGAGATTGCTTGAGAGAAGACAGGAAAGAGGTTTATTTTAAGCTGTTAAAATTTTTGGATGCTCTTCTTGCATTCAAGAGGATTTTTTTTTTTTTACTTTCAAATGTCATTTTACCATAGATTAATTTAAAAGCCTAATTTCTTTAAGGTAAAATATTCAACTCTTATTTAGAACTAACAGATTTGGGGCATTTAAAAATAGTGCCCTTGACTTGCTAGTCTCTTTCACTTTAGAAACATTCTACCAGTGTGTGGTGTTCTAAGCTATCATAAGTACCTAAATTTTTATAATACCTTTTTATTTGTCATTTGGTTAGCACATTATTCTTAATCATTCCTAAACGCCCATATCCTGTTCATCAGTATGATTCTTCCCAACTTACAGATGAAAAACTGAGAAAATTGACCCCCAGATAAATGAACTGCCCAAACATGGCTAACCCATCTGGGGACTGAGTATTTGTGGGTTTGCTCTCACCGTGTGAGCCAGAGTGCTCTGTTATAGTCCAAAGATGGCATTCCAGGCTCTAAACCAGCACTAGAAAAATGTAAACTACTCATATTGGTGATTGGGTTACAAAACAGGATGAATTAAGTCATTCCCACAAAAGATAAATCAGCTGCACTGTGAGCTGGGAAGGGTGGGCAAGCCACAGTATTGTTGCATGTGAAGGACACAGGCCTTGTTTTCAACCAAAGTTGACAAGTCTGACCTCTTAAATTCTTAGTTAGCTATTTAACCTGCTGAGCCACTTTAGATTTGGCAAAGGATCCCAGTAATTTCAAACCAAGAAGAAATATAGTTGAGATATGCTTTCCTTTGTGAGGTGATAATGTTAATATTGCTATTGAAATGGGTACTGCTTTGCATTGCACTCACTAATACAATTTCCCTTCAATAATATACTCCCATTACCTCCTAGCTTGTCACCTCTACACCACTTCTAAAAATCTAGTGGTAAACAAATTTAGATGATGATAATGGAAGGCATTAAGATCAGCTTAGGAACAAAAAGGGTACAAAAACCCAAGTGTTTCACAGAGCACTTACCCATGGAACATGCTGAGTATGAACTGAGCCAAGCTCTCCTTTTAAATGCTTAAACAGGACTAAACCAAGGCAGTAGAGCAGACGAAGCTCTCCATATGAAAAACCTTTCTTGACAACTATCAAGCTGTAGCACATCACAGTCATATCCATGTGATAGACGCAACCAGCACTTTACTTGCATATTTCTTCCATTTTGTTTTCTCCCAACAAAGGAAGCATCAAAAGGAGCAGCAAGTCTTCTCCCTTTGGCTGTCCTCCCTAGTTCTGGCTGTGGACCCACCTACTCTGATGTGTTTCCTTTGTTGGAAGCTGATATCCACAGTTACTTACCTTCCCACATTTTACTCTCAACTCATCAGACTGTCTTGTTTTTTGTGTCTTTGCCAAAATGCACTTACACATTAACAGTTTTTATTTATTTTTAATTTAACCTTTACACATTACCAAACTGTTGTGTGGGTGGTTTTAACTTTAGCTCTGAAGGTAGCATGATGCTGCCGGGACTGAATGCTCTCAAGAAGACTAAGGCTCGTCCTTTTCCGTCTCTTGCCATCTACCTTCATTGGCCTTATCCACCCCCACCCCTAACCCTTTGCTTTGCCTATCCAAGTCCCTGTGATTAAAATTTTTAGTACACTTGGCTCATTTTGAACTTTTGAGCAATTTTTTAGAGAACAAAACAAAGAGGATTTTTATTGCAAACTCCATTAATGCCACATTAAGGCTGACATTTTAATTACCCCCAAGTCAGGAAATGCAAAGTTCAGGTTCCCACAGCAACAGAAACTGTCCCCTTGAGTGCTCACATCACAGCAGATTCTTTCATTCCCTGATTACACAACACCAGGCGTGGGGACATTGTTTTATCCATGGAAAGGAGCAGAGCTTTTATTCTTTGTTTTTTTCCTGTAACTACAGTTGAGGATATGGGTCTTTAGCTTCTTTCCCCAAACCATCTATATGTATTATCCTGAAATGGAAGACTATTATAGCTCTACATGAGCACACGGACAGAATTAAAGTTGCTGTGGGAACATTAACTCTGATTTCCGGACTTCCGTGCCAGTCACATTTAAACCATAATGTTGTAATTTTTGGCATGTAATAAATGTGCATTTCATGTACACAGACAGAAAGAAGCATAAAATGTATTTTAAAGAGCAATTAATTACTAACTTTGTGATTAAAAAACATTTGGTGCCTGTTCCTTCCCATTTAACATCAGCTGCTGGTCTTAGCCAGGCCTAATAGATGACATACTGTGTCTCATCCTGTATCTCAGATGTACTTACTGTATGTTCCTGTTCTTCTAGATAATTAATTCCCTTAGTTAAAGCTGTTGAGGGGAAACAAAATGGAAGGAACATGCAAGCATGTAAAAAGGGGAAGGGATATTTTGAAGGAAATAATTCATTTCTGCAAATAAACCTCCGAGTCCCTGATAAAGAGCCAGAAATCTGCTAAGTGGGTGTGGAGCAAGCTTTCTGGCCACCTTAGAGCTTCTGGTCTAGGGCCATAAGAACAATTTGAAAGCAGACTTCCCTATGAATTCCAGGCATGCCCAGTGGAGGAATGATTTTTACTCTGTACTAACTTTTTAGGCCCAAGGTTCTTCAGTTAATATTCAAACTGGAAAGGCGAAGTTGTAGGGAAATGAGGTAAGGTATAGGATTTGCCAAAGAATCTGTGACTTAGAAAACTGAATTTTTTTCTTTACATCAGAATCTGGTTGACCCATTTGTAATAGAGAAGGAAATTTTTCAAATAACTATGTGAACAGGTATGTGAGTGAAAGGAATTAGTAGCAAATTCTATGGTACAATGTTTAAAAATGCAAACATTTGAGTACATTTGAAATAGAGATGAAAATTTTACTATAAAGGCATGTAGTTTGAACTCTCAGGTGAGGCTTCTAGAGGCAAATACTAAATGAAGATTCTCTTACCGTTTGCTC